ACACACACACACACACACTGAGAGACACTAAAAACGGAGGCAGAGAGACAAGAATATAAAGTCATCCAGGATTTAACTGACTGGACGTGACTCTGTGACAGAGAAGTGGACAAGAGCCAAGACACACACACACACACACACACACACACACACACAACCATATGCTCTCATACTGGTAGTGTCTGAAAAGAAGACTGCATTAAGACTCTATTTTAAAACTGTGTGTGTGTGTGTGTGTGTGTGTGTGTGTGTGTGTGTGTGTGTGTGTGTGTGTGTGTGTGTGTGCGCGTGTGTGTGTGTGCCAGCAGCTGCCTGCCGGCTGAGCACCAACTTGACTGAAAGACCAGGATGAGAAACTCTGCAGTAAAACAGGAGGAAAAAACGTCAGAGACATGAACCATCAGCAGGTGAGGAAACAGAGCAGCTGGTGTTTCAGTGACGAGCTAGTTTAGTGTAATTTCCAGAACTTAATGTGAGTCAGAGCTAAAAGTTTCTTCAAAAGTCAGAGCAGCTGCAGGAGAAGGAAGAAGAAGGTGACGGCAACGATGAAGACGAAGACGATTACAAAGAAGAAAATAACGATGAAGACATCAAAGAAGACGACTTCTTCCTGTTGCACAGACATTAAGCTCAAATGTCTCAGATACAGGTGCTGCCATCGTGTGTTTTTAATGTAATTGACATGTGAAGCCACGGTATTACAGCCCCCTGAAACACGCACTCCACCAATCGTGTCACACTCAGCCGTCAATCGCCTCAGGTTTAAACGATTAAATGACAGAACCTATCTTTGAGAAAAATGTATTTAAACTCTGCTTTGATTTCTTTAGTTTGGCCCATGTCCCATCTGCTAACATGGAGGAGGCAGGGTTTCCAATCTATACTGCAGCTTTATACTGGCTTTACTTTTTGGAGCTGACATGTCGTCCATCTTCATTTAAAGTTTATAGCAGGAAAGAGTGAAAAAGCAGGAAAGTAGAAGGAAAAGGAAGTCTGCCCCCAATCTTCTGAAACATTGCACACAACACATCACACTTCCTCTGCATCACCGTACACACAGCAACACACAGCAACACACAGCAACACACAGCAACACAACTCCATACGTTACTGAAATTCACTTTTTACACCTCAGTTGAAATAAAGTCACTAAAACAAGCATCATGCAACTGATGGGACACTTTTACCCTCAGTACGATGCAGCCTGACCAACAACACAACTCACAACCACACCTCAAAACTTTTAAAACCATTTTAACATATTCAACAGACTTTAAAAATAAAGTCATCAAATGACACTGAAATATAGTTAGAATCCATGATCTTAATCCATCCAGATCTAGTTTGTTCACCTGCCCTCATTTAGCTGTGAATTTTCCAGACGACTCCAGGAAAAGTTTCAGAAAATGTCCAGAGCAACACACACACACACACACACACACACACACCTTTACTGTCTGTTTAGTGTGTCAGATTGATTATTCATCTAACTGGTAATCATCAGTCTGAACCTATCTTAACCTGTGTAAAGTTACAGCTGTGACCTGCCAAGCTCGTCAGCTGTGATCAGAATCAGCAGCTGGATCAGCTGAGGTGTGAAACTGATGTTTTCACACAGACTCACAGCAGGAGAACGTCTGGGATCAAACCTGTGACGTTTGATCACAGATTCACTTCCTGAAAAATAAAACAGCAGCCAAAGGCTGCATGATGAAAGGAAAGGTCAGAGAGGAGGGGGGGGGGGTGCTCTGACTAAATCCTCCTTTCTGAGACAGTTTTCATTTCATTTTATCATCTTTCATTTCTTCTTTCTGTTCAGAATGTAGTTGAGAGTTGATCACCCCTTTTAACGACAAATTAAAATCATTCAACAAATTCAAGAAGGGATTCATTTTCTCACAACAAGGATAGCAGCTGTGTATTTTATGATCTCACAGTAAAGACTGTTCTTCCTGTCTTTACATATAAACCATTTCCAGAGGTAATAGGCTGATGTTTAGATACTCTGCCTCCAACTCAACACACTACTAACATGAAGAGCAGCACTAACACATGTTGAGGAATCAGATGCTTCATACAACCACAATATTTATCACACATCCTCATGCAGCCCCAGAGTCCAGAGGAAAAGATCAGCGTAAGGCCTGGATCTAGAATATAAAGAGGATTGAGACCTTTACCAGCAACATGGCATAGATCTAGAACAGTGACATGTCTGAAGGCTGATACAAGTATTGATGTAGAATAACTACAACTAGAGTCACACTAGAATTCCAAGAGCTTGAACTGCAGTTTGTCAATAGTAATACCTTGGTCAGTGCGGCTGCCACCGATAGACTTCACAAAAGGTTTATGCTGCACATGTGCATGTCTGGAGTTTTGGTCACACTGCATGTTGGTAGCATGTTTGTGACTAAATTCATTACGAATCAAAGTGATATGAGGTCTGAATATTCTCTATATATTTATTTTAATATTTTCTATCTTCCCTTCCTTTCTTCCTCTGCCTCTGAGTTCAAGTTGCACATATCCTTAAATTCCTTCCTGACTTCCACCTGTCCATCTTTCTTCTCCTCCCTTCCTTTTCCCTTCCTCCTCTTTTTCCTGGTCCCCACTCACCCATTGTGTAGTTATAGCCCTGATTACCTCACACTGTCGGCCTTCGGGATACAAGGCCGACTCGGATCGATAATATCGACCAGGAATCTAAGTCTCCTTCTAACTAGCTCTGTGTGTGTGTGCGTGTGTGTGTGTGTGTGTGTGT